TGGGGAGCCTCGGTTCCTTATGTTCAGTGTGTTAGGTTGTCGGGTGATGCCGCTCGGGCGGTACCGATGTCGCCACCGCCTCGACGGTGTCGAGGAGCTGCAGTTATGTTCTAGGTAGGCCTTCAAGATGGCGGTGGAGGTCTTGCTAGAGGGTCATGTTTCTTCAGCTCAGCCCACATCGCCTTGTTGATCCCTCTAGCATTGTCGTAGAGTCGGAAGTGTTTTCTTGGAGGTGGATGGTGCAAAGATGTCGATCTCGTCTGAGAGATGTATTGGTCTCCTTCTATAGTCTGTGTGATGGCCGGTCCGGTGGCATTGGGTTATGGCCTCGTTGCGTGTAGTGCTGGCATCCTCCCCTCTGCAAGTGGTGTTGCCTTGGTCGTGTTCTCACTCATGCTCGCACTTGAGCAAGTTTGTTCTTTGTTGGAGGACTTGGGCTACTATTGTCTTGGTCATTGCTGTTAGGGCATGTCTCTCTCTAAGTAGTTTTGGTGATTGATGACAATGCTTTTGCGGATTAATCGTGTGCATTGAGTTTTTCAGAGATACATTCATTGGCACGAGACGATTCTTTCCCCTCGGAGCTTTAAGTGAAGACGGTGTAGTCTCTTTCGTTTCGGTTTTGGTGGACTTGAGTCGTAGGAGACACAGTACTATCAAGAGGGGGTCCACAATGGAAAGGCTATGGTGGAATCAACACATACACTTCTTCTTTGCACCCCCAGCTCCTTTCCTCTCCTTGGAGTTTGTCGTTTCAACAGTAGTGGAGATTGTGAGGAGATAGCGGTAGTACCGCTGCCAGCGCGGTAGTACCGCCCATGGTCCTCAAGCGGTAGTATCGTTGTCCTACAGCGGTAGTACCGCTTGTGTGCATCGGCGGAAGTACCGTCCTAGTTCGGCATTGCTTCCGCCTCGATTCAAGGATGTCTTTTCTCGTGTCGGGTTGTGCGTCAGTAGTAGCGGCAGTAGCAGCGGTAGTACCGCCCGTGAGCGGTAGTACCGCGGCTACCGCCGCTACTAGTGCTGCCCAAACCCCCTTTCTCTCTCCCATTCTCCCTCTTATGCCTCTGCTCTCAGTCTCCACGGTAGTAGCGCTGCTACCAGGAGTAGTGCCGCTCCACTGAGTAGTAGTATCGCTCTGCGTGGGCTGAAGAGGGGGTAATGGTTGGATTGGTTCCCCTACTATAAAAGGAGGTCTTCTTCTCCAAGTTGACCTACCTCCTTTCCCTCAAGCTCCATTGTTACTCCAAAGCTCATCTTCGCCCGATCTCTCTCCCTAGCCAATCAAACTTGTTGATTTTCTAGGGATTGGTTGAGAAGGCCCGGATCTACACTTCCACCAAGAGAAATTTGATTCCCCCCACTAATCCCTTGCGGATCTTGTTACTCTTGGGTGTTTGAGCACCCTAGACGGTTGAGGTCACCTCGGAGCCACATTCCATTGTGGTGAAGCTCCATGGTATCGTTGGGAGCCTCCAATCAAGTTGTGGAGATTGCCCCAACCTTGTTTGTAAAGGTTCGGTCGCCGCCTTCAAGGGCACCACTAGTGGAATCACGACATCTCACATTGTGTGAGGGCGTGAGGAGAATACAGTGGTCCTAGTGGCTTCTTGGGGAGCATTGTGCCTCCACACTGCTCCAATGGAGACGTACTTCCCCCAAAGGGAAGGAACTTCGGTAACACATCCTTGTCTCCACCGGCTCCACTTGTGGTTATCTCTTCCCTTTACTTTGTGCAAGTTTATATTGTGTTGTATCATTTGCTTGCACTTGTTGTTGTGGTTGTTTGCATCATATAAGTTGTTCACCTAGTTGCACATCTAGACAACTTATTTGTTGTTAAACCTAATTTGTGAAGAAAAGATAAAAATTGGTAGCTGCCTATTCACCCCCTCTAGTCAACCATATCGATCCTTTCAATTAGTATCAGAGCCTCGTCTCTTTATTAAGGGTTTCACCACCCGAAGAGTATGGTTGACACCGAGGAGTAAGTGCCCGAGGCCGTGGAGTTGACTTCGATCACTTAAGAGGTGTATGATGGCCGAAGTCAAGTCCATGCTTAAAGAATTTCTTGAGGGGATGAAATCCACTCCCGACCCCTTGCTTGTGGTTAAACCCATGGCATCGGAGTCGGAGGCCAATTCCGCCAAGGAAGCAGCTAAAGATACATGTTCCTTCCCCTCATGACAAGAATGGGACGGGAACCTTTGCCTCGGTTCCCCCTCGCCCGGTCTATGGAGGACTGGTCCCTACCGATCGCATTAATATTCATGGCCCTCCTCCCATGCTTGTTAAGGGTGATTTTGCTAATTGGATCTTTCGCATTAAGTCTCATTTGAATCATTGTTCAACTAACCTTTGGATAATTATTGAGCAAGGTTTCTACCCTCACGATCAAAACAGCTTCACCCCAAGAGAAGAAGTGGACAATCAATACAATCACTCCTCTTTGTTCATCCTTCAAGAAGCGGTCCCTCCTGAAGACCTAACACACCTACGCCTGTTCACTCGTGCAAAGGATTGTTGGGAGCACATTGTTTCAATGTACAAGGGGAGCTCAAGCATTCATCGGTCCAACTTTGAAGTGGTCCTTGATGAGGCCGATGAATTTGTGATTCTTGAAGATGAGGATCCGCGTAATCTTTACCGAAGGGTGACTACTCTTGCGGTTGCCCTCCAAGATCATGGAAGCAAGGATACAGATGACACTTGGATCAAGCGCAAGTTCCTCAAGGCCATCATGCCCTTCAACAAGGCCATGTCTTCTATGATTCGTCAAAGGCCGGACTTTCACTCCTTAACCTCAAGTGAAGTGTTGGATGAGTTTATTTCCATGAACATCATGAACAAGACCGCCGACAATGCTCTTGCTCGAGTCCGGTCAAAGAAAAGCACTCC